CCAGAGCTACCCGATGGGGTCTGGCACTTTCTCAAGCACTGCTGGGCAGGTGGCAGCTGCTCCCGCTCACAGCTCTGAAGTGACGTGCCCTAGTCTGGAAGAGGTTCCCAGTGTCAAGGGGACTCTGCCCCACTCAGGACAACAGCAGCCTCCCCCACTTGGGATCCTCAGACATCCCATTTCTCCTGGGCAGGAGCAGGAAGGTGGCTCGAGGTGCGGTCCTGTGGCTGCCATTTCTCACTTGGATAAACCCTGCAGTGTCCAGCCATGACCCCTTAGGGTCCTGCAGATGTCCATGCCACACAGCCCAGGTCCTTGCGCCCCTGCAGCTGCCCACTGCCTGTCCTCCCCTCCCGCATGGTGTCCGGGCTGTAGGCCCCACTCCAGGCCTCCTCCCTGAGGCTGCAGCCCCAGGCATATGGGGGGCACTTTTCTCACGCAGCAACCACTGGTGATGTTCCGTTGTCAGCTGCCTCCACCTGCACACACTCCTGTCTGCAGAGACCAGAAGCTTCCAGAACGATCTGTCACTGCTGCTGGTGGCTGTGGCCCATAGTGTTCTGGAACCACCTGCCCTGGTCCCAAATGTGCAGTGTGAGGTGTGCCCACACTCAAGGTCCCCTGTGACCTGGAAACCGCTGTTGTGTCCCCAGCACCTTGGGAATGAGCCTGTCCTCTGTGAAGGAGGGGGTGGTTCTTAAACCACTGGCTCTTGGTGCTCAGGGGGCGCCTGCTGCAGTCCTGGGCCTGGGGTGGTGGTGGTTCAAGACTGAGACAGACTTAGCCTTTGAAAGGGTGCAGAGGCCGGGCGCAGTGGCTCACGCCTGTAATCCCAGCACTTCGGGAGGCCAAGGCGGACAGATCACGAGGTCAGGAGTTCCAGACCAGCCTGGCCAATACGGTGAAACCCGTCTCTACTAAAAAATACAAAAATTAGTCGGGCGTGGTGGTGCGCACCTGTAGTCCCGGCTACTCAGGAGGCTAAGGCAGAATCACTTGAACCTGGGAGGCAGGGGTTGCAGTGAACCAAGATTGCACCACTGTACACCAGCTTGGGTGACAAAGCGAGACTCCGTCTCAAAAAAAAAGGGTGCAGAAACCACTGCCCCAGGCAGCCATCCCCAGTATGAGGCACTGCCCATCAGTCCAGGGCCAGCAGCGGGGCCAGGGCAGCCTGAGGCCTGTCTGGTTAGCCTCTCACCTGGGGTCTAGACAGAGTGAGGAGCCCCGTCCAGCAGCCACTGTGTAGCCTGAGGGCCATCCCCAGGGTGAGGCAGTTTCAGGCCTCGTGTCACTCTCCAGGCCATTGAGAGGACTTGGGGCAGCTTCTCCTGAGGAAGCTCCTGGAAGATGTGCTTCCTCAAATACAGGGTTCACAGGACCCGAGGCTCTGGCCACCCCACCAGCCATCGTCCCCCAAACCACTGGGGACAGTGGCTCCCTCTACCTGCTGCCCCAAGTGGCCCTGCCCCTGCTGATAGCCACAGCCTTTGGGGTACAGGGTGGGGGAGCTGGGTGGGCTCCCAAACCCACACCCTGGTCTCCCCAGGTACATCCAGACACTGAAGGACCACAGGCCCCGGATGGTGTGGGACAGCCAGGCCTCGGAGCACTTCTTCGAGTACAAGAAGTGAGTGTTGGGAAGTGCATGGCCCGCCTCGGCCTTCTGTGCAGGGAGGGACCCTGGGGGTGGAGACGAGGGAGCAGCAGGGCCCAGGGGGTCCCAGAACCCTGGGGGTGGAGACGAGGGAGCAGCAGGGCCCAGGGGATCCCAGGACCCAGGGGGTGGAGATGAGGGAGCAGCAGGGCCAGAGGGTCCCAGGGTCACGAGCTGACTTGCTGCTCCCGGCCCCGGAGCACAGCTGGACAGCAGGTGGCCACCTAGCGGGTGGGAAGAGTCCAGGCCGTGGACCTTGGCTGTGAGGGGAGGAGGCCTGGAACCAGCAGAGGCGGCGGACGGGCCGACAGTCCCCTTGTCTTGCAGGAGCCGCAGTGGGAGGCACGTCGTCTTCTACCCAACCCTGAAGGTGCGTGTGCTGCCAGCCATGGGACTGGGGGAGAGATGGGGCATGCGACAGCATGGCAGGCACTGGCCTGCGGTCCCTGGGGTCCAGGCAGTGCTGCCCCTCGGCCTGGAGGACACTCCTAGGTGTTGGGGGACAGGCCCCAGCAGGCACTCACACCTCCATCTGTGCTCAGTCCCTGCAGGTGCGGCTGGAGCTGGCCCGGGAGCTGGGCGTTGGGGTCTCCATTTGGGAGCTGGGCCAGGGCCTGGACTACTTCTACGACCTGCTCTAGGCGGGCTTTGCGGCCTCCGCGGCGGACGTGTTCTTTTCTAAGCCATGGAGTGAGTGAGCAGGTGTGAAATACAGGCCTCCACTCCGTTTGCTGTGACGGGTCTGCTGCAGTCCTCAGTCGGGGGTCCTGGGCACCGTGTGACTCCCCACCCTCTCATGAGGGGTCCCTGCCCTGGGATGAGTCCTGGCTGGGGGGCACCCGAGAGCTCAAGCCCCTCCCACCTGGGCATCTGCTGGCTGCCTCCTGTCGGCTGGGCACGCAGGACCCACAGTACCTGCCCCACCAGGACAGCCTGGCTCAGGCCTTCCTGGGCTGCTTCTCACATCCTGGGCCAGATGTGGGTTTGGAAGCTCTGGAACCATCCCAGACTCGCCCACTCCCGGACTTGAGGGCCCTGGCAGGGACAGCTCTGCCCAGCATCACCCCAGGGCTTGGCAGTGACAGAGCTGAGAGCTGCACGCCCACGTCACCACCCACCTCGCCAGCCACAGCATATGTGTGACATCTGCAGAGAGCCACCCAGACGTCCCCGCCGAGTCCAGCACGGCAAGGGTGCAGGGGCTGCCCTGGAAATGGGCACAGAGGAACCTGGCCCACCCTCTTGAAACTGGCCCTGGACCTTGGCTCAGCTCTGCCGCCTCAGGTAGCGTGACCCCCAGGCCAGCCTGGCCACATCAGGGAGCATGGTGAGGGGCAACGGCAGGACCCGTGGGCCACATCGGGAAGGGCATTTCCAGGGAGGGGTGGGGCAGAGGACACGTGGCTGGCAGTCTGCACCCACCCTGCAATGCAGCGGTGTCCAGGCTCTGGGGAGGCCCTGGGGAATTTGGAGGCATGAGCCAAGGCCTGGCGGCCTTCATTCCCCTGCCCCTCATCGCCATCCTGTCCTTGGCTGGCCGTGAGAACTCCTCTCCTCACCATTGGGACCCACAGGGCTGAGGTGGGTACACGTCCCAGGCAGGGTCCCTTGGGGGGACAGAAGTGAGTCCAGGGAGTGGATGGGCCTGGGCGGGCCTGAGAATGCCGTGGGGTGAGGGACGGTGAGGCCAGGGTGGGCATTGGTTCTGGTTCAGAGTCAGTAACATCAGGGTGTGGTGGGCAGGGGGGTCAGGACATCTCCAGCCGGTGGTAAGCAGCATGGTGGGGTCTCCTCCACAGGACAGAAGCTGGGGAGGGGGTCCTGGGTCGGCCCGAGGCACCCACGCCTAAGAAAGGCCTGGATGTCAGGGAGGCCTGTGAGCCGCCACACTGCAGGTGCAGCCCTTCCCACCGCTTTGCTGCTGCTTGACATGGGTGTAGGAGATACAGGTGGTGTGTGCAGTAGCTCATGCCTGTAATCCCAGTACTTTGGAAAGCCGTGGCGGGAGGAATGCTGGACAACATGGTGAAACCCCGTCTCTACCCCCTAAAAATACAAGTTAGCAAGACGTGGTGGCATGGGCCTGTACTCACAGCTACTCAGGAGGCTGAGGTGGGAGGATCGCTTGATGAGGTTGAGGCTGCAGTGAGCTGTGATCAACTACACTCCAAAAACCTTCTAAGCTGCCACTGGCTTTGGGGCACTGACCTTGTGTCCCCAGAGGCGCTGACACTAACATTTGAGTTGGTTCTCAGGGATCCTGTGGCTTCCGTCAGAGTGAGGGCAGGGGACACGCAGGCCTGGGAGGGTGGTGTGGGCCTGGAGCTAGGCATTGCCAGATCATCATTGGGTGCAAGCAGGGGTGGGGATGCCACATAGGATAGGACGCCTAGAGCGGGCTCTGTCTCCAGGGTGATGGGCAGAGGGTGAGGCAGGAATTAGCTGGAAATTGAGATTGTGGGGTAGTCTGGGGATCAGATGCCCCAACCTGAACTGACTGTCATCTCTGTGGCCAGTGTCCCCACACAACCCTCACCCTGGCTGTGAGAATCCTGTGGCAGGCACCTTGATGCATGTTTTTTCTGTGCCCTGTGATAACTGCTTTGTGCTGCCAGCTCACTTAAAGGGCAGAGTTCTAGGAACAAAATAGACGGGAGAAAAGCGGAGCCCCACCTCGACAGGAGGCCCCAGGGTGGGGGTGATGTGGAAGGAGCCCTGCCTCAGGAGGAGGCCCTGGGGTGGGGGTTTTTGGGCAGGAGAGCCCCACTTGGGGAGGAAGACCCTGGGGTTGGGGGTGAAGCAGAGGGAAGCCCACCTAGCACAGGCCAGCAGTTCAGGGACGCCCCCCCTCCCCCCCCGGGCGCTTGGCACTTTTTTTATATTTTTATTACTATTTTTTTCTTTTGAGATGGAGTCTTCCTGTGTCATCCAGGCTGGAGTGCAGTGGTGCGATCTCCATTCACTGCACTCTGTCTCCCAGAATCCAGCGATTCTCCTGCCACCAAACCTGGCTAATTTTTGTATTTTTAGTAGAGACAGGGTTTCAACTTGTTGGCCAGGCCGGTCTCAAACTCCTGACCTCAAGTGATCCACCCGCCTTGGCCTCCCCAAGGGATTACAGGTGTGAGCTACCGTGTCTGGCCTCATCACCACTTCTTAGAGCTAATGTCATGATTTCCTTAAAACCAGAAGTCTGGAGAGTCCCCTGCAGGCGGCTCCCCCAAGCCTGTGCACCAGGTGACCCCACAGGGCTCTGCCTAAGCCTCATGCCAGAGGCTGCCCTGCCCCAGGCCTGGGTGCCAGAAGGGAAGATGGGGTAGGGAAGGCAGACTAGCAGTAGACGCAGGGCTGCAGCTCACACTTTATTAGGATGCACCAGGAGCCCCACGGGCCCACTGTGGAATGTAGGTAAGGGGTCCATGGCCCTGCCTGGAGCACCAGGACCAGTGGGGCCACTTCCAGGATGCCAAGCCCCTGTTCCTGCAGCCCCAACCCGCTTCCCGGGAGGCTGGGGGCCACAGACTGGCACCCGTGTGAACACTGCTTTGGAGAATATGTAAATATAAAAAGTGCTGGAGACCCCTCCCACCCCTGCCCTGGGTTCCATAGCCAGCACGTGGCCACCCCTCCCAGGGGGGAGTTTGGAGGCCCTGAAGCCACCTGAGCCAGGGCCTTCTAGAAACAGGGTTCCAGGGCCTCCGGGCACCTGTCCCTCCCTCCCTCCTCCCAGCATGGGGCAGAGCACCGAGGCTGGTGGTGGGAAAGGCAGCTGTGGGCACGGCCATCTCCCTGTGGGCGTCCTTTTGGCAGAGAAGCGGGCAGCCTATGCGCAGTAGGTGTCTGCCTTGACCACCTGGCAGTACATGGTCATGGCGAAGGTCAGGCCTAGGATCTGTGGGGAGGGGAGGAGGGCTGGGCATAGCAGCTCCATGGCCTCAGGCCTCAAGCCCAGAGCGGTCCCTGTCCTCAGCAGGTGCCCTGGCCCTGGCCCTGACCCTGGGGCAGGGGACACAGCGCAGAGCCCTTCAGCTTCCTGCTGGCTCACACACCCCATCCAACCCCTGCGGCTCAAGCCATAGCACCCTCCCCTGAGCCTTGCAAGCATGAGGACACCCAGGACTTCCTGCGGGCTGTGGAGTTTGGAGAGCAGGGGCCACAGGCACCAGGACCCCAGCTGCCACTCTCTGCGCACTGGCCAGTCCTGGGCCACCAACCAGCACGGACAGCCGCCGGCTTCCACCCCACACCAGCCTCTGCCTCTGTCCACTAGGAGGGAGCCCACCGTCCCCACAGGCCGTCCCTGCCCATCCCCCCGAACTCACCCTCCTGCTTTTGCCCCAGCCTCCCCGATCATGGGTTCCTGGGGGCAAAGCCTTTGCTACTTTGTTCCCTGGGCTCAGAAGGCCCCAGCAAAGGGGTAGCAGGGAGTCTGCAGTCCCCAGGCCATACCTGCACCAGTGCCGTGCACAGCCCAAAGATGCCCACAGCCAGCAGGTTCTCCTGGAGCCACACCTTCACCGTCTCGTAGCACGGCTGCAGGAGGCATGCCCTGCATGTCACGGAAGGGCCTGCCGGTCCCACCCTCTAGGCCCCCGCCAGCCCCCAGGGTGGGGGTCTCACCGCCTTCCACCAGGTGCCAGGTGCGTGCAGCCCGCAGCTCTCGCTGAACTCCAGGCAGCAGGAGTCAGGCACCCGCGTGGCGTTGTACACCTCAAACCAGTCAGTGTAGTTGGAGACACCACAGCAGCGGAACTAGGGGACAAGCTCAGGTCATGCTTAGGCGGGAGGGGAGGGGGCACCCGCTGACCCCGCCCACCTGCCCAGGCCTCACGTCAGTCTGGATGATGCTCCAGGCGTTGGTGAGCCCCACGTTGCCCTGCGTGCCGTACAGGTGCAAGCCTTTCTTCAGGTCTTGCTGGGCGTACCTGTCAATCTAGGGGTATGGGGGGGTCAGCAGGGCCCCTCCCACTGTACCCCACCTCCCTCATCCAGACCCCCTCGCTGGCCCCTAAGCTGGGCCCCTCCTGCGCCTGGTCCTGAAGTGTCTCCTGCCCTTCCTAGCCCACCAAGTTGCAGACACACCGGTCCTATGTCCTCCCAGCAGCCCTGAGGCCCAGGGCCCCCACCTCTGGGCTTCCTCCCCAGGCTGGGGGAGGACCATGGGTCCTGGGGGGAGAGAAGACAGGGACACAGGTGACTCCACGTGTCAGGACACGTGCAGCCGTGCTCTGTGAGCTGGAAGCCAGGAGCTGTGAGCACTGAGCCCACCCAGCACCCCGGCCACGGTCCCCAATATTCAGTGAGGACCCAGGGCACCCTGGAAAAGGGGCTGATTCCCAGGCCAGGGCAGGGAATACAGGAGGAGCCTGGAGCCCCCTACAGTGCCAGGAAGTCAGGACGTGCCCCAGAATGAAAAGTCTGTTGATGGGGGCACATCCCCAGGGCCAAAGACGGACAGTGTGATTTACAAAACAAAGCAGTGTTGTGTTCTAGCTCAGAGTGCAGCCTCAATAGCCGTGACTTCATCCCAATATAAACAAATGGCTGAATATATAAATGAGTGACCAAGAGAAGGCCGTTCTACAGAGCAGAACCCCACGGTGAGCAGCCAGGACAAGGCGCTGGGAGCAGACAGCCCGGGACGCTGTGTCGGGGGACGACCTAGGGCGCGCCCTCCGGGTGGGGGAGCAGTGCCCTCGTGCCCCAGTCACCGCAGAGGCACAGCATAGCCTCCCAGGGTTGGGGGTGCTCCCCCTCCAGGCCTGGTAAATCCACACCCGCTGTCTTGGCTGCCAGGGAGGGCAGATCGGGGGCCACTCTGTCCACACCGGGCCCACTGCCCCCTGGGAGTGAGGATGGAGCCCCCAGCCCTGCAGCTGGGCCTGCGGCCGAGGCAGCCATACCTTGTCTGTGTAGGCGAAGAAGAGGATGGCAATGGTGGCCTCCAGCAGGAACACCAGCAGCAGCAGCAAGAAGAACTGTTGGGGGGGCAGGCTCAGACAGGAACCTGGCAGGCCCCATGGCCTCCACCCCATAGCATGCCAAGGGCCAGGGCCACACACCTCATGGATACCTGGTGCTGCCAGGAAACCCCTGCCAGGCCCCCAATCCGAGACCCCAGAATGCCACCCCCACCTCAGAACCCTCAGCCTCGGCCCCAGGTCCAGGGACTGTGGCTGTCGTGTCCTGCTCAGCCCCTGAGTGTAGGGCCCTGGGCTGGCCTGGGCTCCCCTCCCCTGCCCCCATCCCTGGGGCAACCCAGACACCCCCAAGTGGGCACAAGTCCCTGTTCCCAAGACTCTAGCCCCTGTCAGCTGGCTTCAGACACCTCCGTCCAGGGGCCTGTGAGTGTCCGGCGGGTGCCTCACGGGGTGCCTGTCACACCTGGGCTGCAGAGGCCCCTTCCGCTCCCACGTCACAGCCCTCAGGGCAGCCAGGGTGGCTGATGCCCCCTCCAGCAAGACCACAGGCTGCAACCCCACCTCTGACCACGCAAGCTTCCCCCTCCTGGCGGCAGCCCTGAAGCTCAGCCTGACCCCAGCCCTGCTGCTCCTCCATGCGGAGGTCACTGACACCTGCAAGAGGAAGGCAGGCATGGACAGGGTGTGTCCAGGAACTGGGGGGCCCAGGCAGAGTGGGCGTGAGTGGGGCAGACAGGGTGCTGGGCTAAGGACACAGGAGCCCCTCACCCCCAGGAGGTACCCAGGGTTCTGGTCCCAAGTCACCTGTGGGAAGGGGGTAGGGCTTCTATCCCTGCAGGCCTGGCGGGGCCTACACAGAGCAGCTTCCTCAACTGTTGGAGGAGCTCCAAGCCCCAGCAGGGCTGCCACAGACCCCCACCTACTGCCTCCAGGGGGATCTGGGCCCCAACGGATGCCGGGGAGGCTGAGAGATGGGGGGCTCACCGCCAAGAAGGGGTACGGAGGGGAGTGGGCTGGCTGAGGCGATCTAAGGGAGGCCCCACCCCATCCAGGGCTTCTCAGACAAAGAGGTGATCTGAAGCCTCTTGATTTAGGACCTCAGCAGGCTGCAGACCCGCTTCGGGCCCACGGCCTCAGCCAGGCATATTAATCGGTAGCAAGCCTGTGTTTCCATCTAGGAGCCCTTTTCATTTTTAATTATCTGTGATGAGAACATTTCCAAGGAGGATAAACACGTCCCTGCCTATAAGTCCGCCCCTGAGGGGAGGTGGGGGCTGGGAGGGTCCCAGCAGACGGTCCCAGGGAGCTGAGAGACCAGGCCCCGGACAAGGAGCTGGGGAAGGGGCCACAGTGGGGGTGGGGTGGTCAGGAATGAGTCATGGAGACCGCAAGCCCGTGAAAGGCTGTGCATGCCTGTGCACACGTGTATGGGGCTGTGCCTGTGCACACCAGGTCCTGTCAAGGGAGGCTCCCGACAAGCTACAGCATGTTCTCCAGTGACCCCCGCCCCCACTCCACAAATCAGCCCCAGCCCCAGAGCAGCCCGGAAGACCCAACAGTAGCCACACTCCCAACCTGGAGGTCAGGCCTGCATCTGGGGGTCACTGCAGCAGCCAAGGCCTGGGGACCACTGGAGCCCCACCCTGCGTGGTCCCACCCAGAGCATGCCTGGGCCCCGGCACTCACAGCGAGCAGGAGGCACTTGTTCTCCTTGATGGCGCCCAGGCAGCCCACGAAGCCGATGGCCATGACAAAGGCACCGGTGATGATGAGCAGGTTGGCAGCCGACAGGGACGGGAAGGAGGAGGACAGCGTGGCGAAGCTCCCCTGGGTGGCGGCCAGCCAGATGCCGACGCCCAGCACGCCACAGCCCCCCAGCTGGGGCACAGCAACATGAGAGACACAGGGTGAGGCCCCAACACAAGCTCTGGACCCCAGGGCAGAGCCCGACCCGCAAGCCAAGGCCACACCGCCTGCCGGCCTGAGCCAGAACCACCCGGAGTCCTGCTAAATCCCACGGCAGCCCTGGGGGTGTCCAGGGCAGGCCAGTCCTTACCCGACACCCTGGGTTGGCACCCCATCCCCAAACCCACAATCCCTGGCCACGGTGGTGGGGGCTCCCTCGTGCCCCTGAACCTCCCTCTAGGGGGGATCTGCCCACCCCCCGGCCTGGAGCCAGAGGGGCAGGATCTTAGGCCCCAGGACGCAGTGCACACCCCCAACCCCACTTCGCCCTCTGGTCTGCCCAGCACAGAAGCCCACTCCCCACCTGACAGGCCACTCCAGCCTTTCCAGACTGCTGTCAGGGAGACCCAGCCCGGCCCTCACTCCGGGATGGGGCTTCCTGGCAGGCGGCCTCAGGATTCCGGTGCCCACTTCCCAAGAAGGTCTCTGTGATGTCCCCGGCTGTCCCGTCACTCGTAGCAGGAGAAATGCTGATTCCCTCACACTTTGTCTCTCTCCCCTCTCTCCCTCCCCTCTCCCCTCCTTCCTCCCTTCTCCCCTCTCCGCCCCCCTCCGTCCCTTCCTTCCTTTTCTTTCCTTTCTCTCTTTTTGGACATGGAGTCTCACTCTGTTGCCCAGGCTGGAGTGCAGTGGCGCCATCTCGGCTCACTGCAACCTCCTCCGCCTCACAGGTTCAAGTGATTCTCCTGCCTCAGCCTCCCAAGTAGCTGGGACTACAGGCATCTGCCACCACACCTGGCTACTTTTTTGTATTTTTAGTAGAGATGGGGTTTCACCATGTTAGCCAGGATGGTCTTGATGTCAATCTCCTGACCTCATGATCCGCCCACCTTGGCCTCCCAAAGTGTTGGGATTATAGATGTGCGCCACCGTGCCCAGCCAAGTTATGATTTTTTTTTTTTTTTTCTTTTTTTTTTTTTGAGACGGAGTCTGGCTCTGTCGCCCGGGCTGGAGTGCAGTGGCCGGATCTCAGCTCACTGCAAGCTCCGCCCCCCCCGGGTTTACGCCATTCTCCTGCCTCAGCCTCCCGAGTAGCTGGGACTACAGGCGCCCGCCGCCTCGCCCGGCTAGTTTTTTGTATTTTTTTAGTAGAGACGGGGTTTCACCGTGTTCGCCAGGATGGTCTCGATCTCCTGACCTCGTGATCCGCCCGTCTCGGCCTCCCAAAGTGCTGGGATTACAGGCTTGAGCCACCGCGCCCGGCCCAAGTTATGATTTCTTACAGCCACATAGGCACTGGCAGGAACGGAGAAGGCGGGTCCCCCAGGAGCACCTCAGCCTCTGTAACCACTGGAGCTCTTACTGTGTTTCCTAAGTGCTTGTTCTCATAAAAATCAATTAAAACAGGAAGAGGCGTGGGAGACGAGGGGGTCCTGCCCCCGGAGAGAGGGTGCTAGGCTGCCAGCCCAGCAAGGCCTCAAGGGAAGCAGGGGTCCAACAGGACCCCCCACCCTCAGACGCTGAGGCCTCGGGCTTGGGCCGTTTCAGGAGGAGACGGAAGATACGTTCCAGACCTGGGCACAGGGTAAGCAGTCGCCCGAAAAAGCTGACCAGCTCCCGGTCCGCAGCGTGGGCGCCCAGGTGGGTGGCGGGCAGACGTCCTGGGCTGCCGACGGTTGACTGGTTCTGGGGAAGGGCCACACAGCCCTGGGGGATCCCTGCCCCACCCGACTGGACGGGACTTGGGAGTAGGCTGGCAAAGCCACCCCTCCACCCGATGGAGCCCCTCGGAGCACCCAGACCACAGGCTCTGGGGGTTCCCTGGGGGCTACCAGAAGCCCCAAGTCACCCCATAAAAGCCTCCCAAGCCCCAGTGGCCAGACTCACCCCACTTTCCAGACACAAACCCAGGCTGGGAGATGAGCTGCTGGCCACCAGCAGCCGCCCCACCCCCACCCGCCACACCAGCTCAGTTCAAGACAGGCCTAGGGCCTCCACTCTGGCAGGGCTCCCACAGGCCCCATGGGCCCCAAGACTCTTGCCTCAGGGGGCCTGGGGGTGGGAGATGCCCCCTCCTTGTGTGCACGCTCCCCTGCCCCTCCCTGAGCAGTGCATCAGCCAGACCAGGCTGCAGGTTGGAGGCCACCACCCTTTCACTGGCTGGCAGGCAGGCAGGAGCCCATGCTGGGGAGATGGGGCACGGCTCCCTGCCCAAGGCCAGCGTGGTCACTTGGTGCCCAGAGGTTCAGGCCAGGCCTCTCACTGGTGTCTTGGGTCCCTCTGGGCTCCACAGGGTGAAATCCCCTCAGAGGAGAATCCCCCCTGCTGGGGCCCACGAGTCCCACACATGCTCAGGCCGTCCTGGGGAGAATGCAGGCTCTGTCCTTCCCCAGCCTTCCAAAGGCAGCATCTCTGCTTAACGTTCACAACAGAACGCTGTCCAGAGGCTGCCGGCGCAGGGCCTGTCCTGGGAAGCTCTGCCGAGCCACTGGTGCCTGCTGAGCTCTGACACCCAAGCCCAGAGCCCCTCCCCAGCAGGCCAGGCACGGGGCGCAGGGGAGGTGGACAGACCGGGTGCAGGAAGAGGGGTCACCCCTGTGCTCTGGGCCCCAGGATTCGGAGTACCAAGGCGGGTGCTAACTTGCTAGCTCTGACCACACAGCCCCTCATGGCTCCAGGGGTGCTGCTAAGGAGCCAATAGGAGACCTGGGCACAGCACCCGGCCTGGGTGTTGCTTCTGAGTAAACCCAGCCCCAGAAGCAGCTTAGGGGGATAGGGGAGGCTTCCCAGGAGACCAGGAAAAGGCTTGGGGGTGGCAGCCAGCACAGCTTGGCAGAGGGCAGCCCAGAGATGCACCAGGGGAGGGATGCATGAGCCTGAGGCATGTGTGAGCCGGGGTGCCTGTGAGAGGGGGTGTGTGTTAGCAGGGGTGCATGTGAGCTGGGGTGTGTGTGAGCTGGGGTGCATGGGGGCCAGGGAGCGTGTGAGCCGGGGCACGTGTGAGCTGGGGTGCGTGTGAGCCGAGGTACATGGGGGCCAGGGAACGTGTGAGCCAGGGGTGCGTGTAAGCCGGGCTGTGTGTGAGCCGGGGGTGTGTGTGAGCTGGGGTGTGTGGGCCAGGATGCCTGTGAGCCGGGGTGCGTGTGAGCCGAGGTACATGGGGGCCAGGGAGCGTGTGAGCCGGGGCACGTGTGAGCTGGGGTGCGTGTGAGCCGAGGTACATGGGGGCCAGGGTGCGTGTGAGCCTGGGGTGCGTGTGAGCCTGGGGTGCGTGTGAGTCGGGATGGGTGTGAGTCGGGGGTGTGTGTGAGCCGGGGTGTGTGGGCCAGGATGCCTGTGAGCCGGGGTGCGTGTGAGCCGAGGTACATGGGGGCCAGGGAGCGTGTGAGCCGGGATGGGTGTGAGTTGGGATGGGTGTGAGCAGGGGTGTGAGTCGGGATGGGTGTGAGTCGGGTGCGTGTGAGTCGGGATGGGTGTGAGCCGGGGTGCGTGTAAGCTGGGGTGCATGTGACCCCAGAGATGTGTGTGAGCCGGGGTGTGTGTGAGCATGGGTACATCTGAGCCAGAACGCGTGTGAGCGGGGGTGCATGTGGGCCAGGATGCTTGTTGGCCAGGATGCGTCGGAGCCTAGGGTGCATGTAAGCGGGGGTGCATGTGAGCCGGGGTGCACAGGAGCCTGGGGTGTGTGGGAACCAGGGTGCGTGTGAGCAGGGTGCGTGGGAGCCTGAGGTGCATGGAAACTGGGGTGCTTGTGAGCGGGGGGTGTGAGCCAGGGTGGATGTGTCTGGAGTGAGCAGGACCAGAGGCCAGCTCCGTGGCACAAGTGCCGGGGACATCCCTAATTAAGAGAATCTGTCCTCACTGGAGCACCGGGCTTGGGCCACAGCCCCAGGGTGGGCAGGGTCTGCCAACTCTACAGAGATGCCCCCACTTCCTGGGGGACCTGGCCCTGCTACGGGATGCACCAGCAGCTGGGGGACGGGCTCTTGAGGGTGCTGACTGCTAACTCAGCACCCCCACCCACGCATCTTTGGAGAGGTGTCCCTCGTAACATCCTGGAGCACGGGAGAGGCCTGGAGGCAACGGCTCCCTCAGTGCTCCCTCTAGACCGTCGGGCACAAGGACATGCACACCAGGTACAGACCAGTTCAGACAAGGCCGTGCGGAACTGAGGGGCATTCTCGAGGAGCACATAGGAACCCCAGCCTGGCCCTGGGCTGTCCCCATGTCCTCCCACAGTTCCCAGGTTTCGTGGAGGGGCAGACAGGGCACCACACATGGCCTGACATGGTCACTGCCCCAAGAATTGGGCAGAGAAGGGATATGGCCCTGGGTCCAGATCACCAGGTGATGAGGGCAGAAGGTCAGAGGGAAACAAGAGGCCCCAGAAGAAGAGATGGCCATCACCAGCTCAGAGCATATCCTGGCCTCAAGCACCAAGCAACCCCACAAGTTGCATTCCAGGCTAAATGCCCAGGCTGGTGGGTGAAGGTCCCTGAACTTAGGGGAGGTGCTGGCGCAACAGAGAAAACTGTCATTTAAAACCCAAACTGGGGCTGGGCGCGGTGGCTCCCGCCTGTAATCCCAGCACTTTGGACCTGGAGGCGGGCGGGGATCACTGAGGTCAGGAGATCGAGGACCATCCTGGCTAACACGGTGAAAACCCCGTCTGCTACTAAAAATTAAAAAATTAGCTGGGCGAGGTGGCGGGCGCCTCTATCCCAGGCTACTCGGGAGGCTGGGAGGCCAGGAGAATGGCGTTGAACCCAAGGAAGGCAGGCTTGCAGTGAGCCAAGATAGCGCCCACTGCACTCCAGCCTGATGCGCGACAGGAGACTCAGTCTCAAAAAAAAACCGCCTGCACCGTCTGCCTCTGCCTTCCAAGGACGGCAGACCTCTCCTGTCAGCAGGAAAATGAGCGGTTCCGAGCTCCCCTCGCCCCAAGGGGATGCCTCGAAGGGCACAGGGAGGAC